GGAAGGGGCCGACCCTGATGTCAGAACAGCTCGAAACACGTCCCCGCAAAACTGCACATTCTTGTGGTCTAAGGTTTAAGACCAAAAGGAACGAGCTGAGGCAAAGCTGCTCTCCCGCCCGGGTTTCAGATCCCGCCCCTCCCAGCTTAGGGACCGGGGCGCCGCACTGCCGCGGGTTTCCTTATCTTTCCCTTTCGGGCCAGCTCCCCTCGGCCAAGCCGCTACGTCCGCCTCCAAGTTCGCCTTCGCGCGCCAACCGCTGCCGGCCACATGCACCCATCTGCCCGGGACCCCGCACGCCGGACGGTCCGCAGGGACTCGGGGGTGCGGGGACTTGGGGTTTTGTTTTTTTTGTTGTTGTTGTTTTTAACAAAAAGCCTTAGAGGCACGCCGCCCCCTTCTCCCCGGCCCGCGCCACCTTCCCTTCACGCCCACGCCGCACCTCCCCGGCACACGCGCTGCGTGGTGCTTCTCCCGCCAGACAATGGGCTCTGGGCTGGCCAGGCAGCCCGCCCAGAGCCCCCGGCCCCATCCTGGGACCCCGAGAGGGCTGAGCGCGGGGGCTGGAGGGGAGCGGAGAAGAGTAAGGCTGGGGAGGCCACAATGGGGAAGGTGGGCGCCTCCCCCTTGGGACGGGAGGCTCGCTCCCGGCGCCGGGAGAAGAAGAGGGGGCGGGGGTCAGCTGCGCCTCCCCGCCCGGAGCCCCGCCGCGCACTCACCAGCACGATGGCAAATCGCTCTTCCAGTTCACCTGGCTCGGGCATCGGCAGCTTCAAAGGCACGTTGTGCGCCCTGAAATCGGTCTGCTGCGAATCCATGCTCCCCGCGTTGCCCATGTTGGCTGCACGCCGGGGCCGGGGGCTGCTCCGGACCCCTCGCGTTCGCTTCGGAAATCAGAACAGCTCCCGGCGGCCGGCTCCCGCCCCGTGGCGCGACCCGCCCGGCTCCCCGCTCTCGGCTGCGCCCCGGCGAGTGTGCAGCGCGCACCGCTCCCTAGCAGCGCTCCGAGCCGAGCCGCCCCCCGGCCTCCCTCATGCTCTCCACCGCCCCAGCGCCGCCCCGGCCTCTTTGCCTCGGGAGGGGTCGTCAGGGCGCCGGGCGCCTATCTGCATGTTGCTCCTCTGGCACGCCGCCCCCTGCCTGCGATCGCGGCCAGCTGGCGCGTGCGTCCTCGGACTCGGTCTTGCGCCGGGCCGCGGCCGCCGCTGACACTTGCAGCCCCCGGCCGGCGAAAACAACGCTCTCTCGCGAAGCACCTCGAGCAGACAAATGCGGCTCGGCGCTCCCGACACAATGCCCCCCTCGCCCGGCCCCCGCCCCCGGCCCGGCCCCGCCCACTCGCCCCGCGGACTGCCGGGACGCGTAGTTTCTGCCCAAAGTGTCCGCACAGCAAACCCCGCCCGCTCCGGAGAGGGCCGGAGAGGCAGTGTGCACGCTTCTGGCTGCAGTTTACGTCCCTTTAGACCCCTCCTCACTCCCACGGTAGAAATAACCACCTCGTCTACGTGGGTTCTGAGACGTAGAAGGCACACCTGACAAGTGAATGCATGATCCAATCAACCGGTGATTGAACGCGAGCATTCTGATTTAAATTTCAGAAGCTTGTTACTGTTCAAAAGGCTCTAGCTTAACAGGTGGCCTGAAAGGTATTGGCAACGTCCTGCTTCATGAATTGGGGAGTGGGTCCGTGGGTGCTTATTTGATTGTTCTTTCTTCCTTATGTAAATCATTTTTGTGTGATTGAAATGTTTTCTAAACAAATACATACTTGTATGGGTTTTCTTTATAAATATCCATTATAGTTATATGTATATATGGTCAGACGCTAGAAGTTGGAAGAGAAGGATTCCGTTCGATTCAAAACACCGGTCAATAGCTATTATGTATGGGTTACTGGGTTCCTTCGTGGGAGAAAAAGAGGATTGCTCCTGCTCCGGAATACTTCACAATGTAGTGCAGGAGAAATTTTACACAAATGACCATATCTCATGTGAGATAGAAAGGAGGACAGAGTATTTGGGGAGGCTTGGGAGGTGGCGTTTGGCTGTAGCTACCTTATTCCTTCATAGCAGCCTTGTTCCAGGTGTTTTACAAAGAAGATTGGACCCAGCCTTATCTCTGGGATGCTTTCCAGATTATCACTATCCGACATTAAAGCAGTGGAAATAGAACCAACCTTATAAACACGACTTTAACCAGGTGCCCATGTTGTAGATTTCAAGGGCATCCACCTGGTTGACTTGTGGCTGAACAACTGTAATTCGTTCTTTCTGCGCTTGGAGCCGTGTTTCTTAATCCTGGTTTATCAGAGTCACTTGGGGAGCTTGTTGTGGAAACGCCACACACCTTGGACCCTGCCTATTCAGAATTTCCCGGAGCTGAGAGCTGGAGCACAGACAGGTGTATTTTTAATAAGCTCCCCAGGTCATTCTGATATGCAACCAAGGTTGTTACCCTGTTGTTAAAAAGCAGCTGCTTCTGGAGAAGGTAACACACCAAGACTAAACATCAAGGACCCCATTTTTCATTTAGCTTTATAAAGTCCAAGATACCTTGAGCATAGTAGATGTTCAATGACTATTTGTTGAATTGACAAATGGGTTTCACCAAAAGCTTATGGAGCAAATATTCACATAAATACTTCGTGTGTGGGTATCATCTATTAAATAAATGACTTCTGGTCTTTTTAAAAAGAAGGAAGAGAGGATAAATAAATTCAAATTAAAAGTCTGAATAGATGCAACCTGTATTTCAAAACTATATTGTATCAAAGTTAACGGTAAGCATGTTACCCATCAAAGAAAGAAAAACAGGAATATAGATACATACACATACCCCAACTAGTGAAAATGAGTGAGAAAGAAAAGCAGTTAGTTCAAACCAAGTGAGACATTTCTGACCCACAAATGTATTTGTTTTCTTTCCAATCTCTAGACGTATACTTTGGATCTGATTGACACAAAATCAGCCCACCCAGGGGGTTGACCGTCTGCATGGAGAAGCTAGAGTTCTTTTCTGCACTTGAGAAATCCTTTTTTATTACATTTATGACTCCCTCTGGCCATATTTCTGCCAGTAACCAGGACCTTTTTCTCCCCTTAAGTCTTATCACATCTAGTCTCTCTCATAATGTCACACTTTGAGAGGAGCCAAAGGACAAAGTGTGCAAATCCATGAACCAAAAGAACTCAGCCACTTCAAGGTTTGCAATCTTTAATATTTGGTTATTATTTGTGTTATTAAATATAAAAATAAACAAAACACTCCATTATACAATTTCTGTAAGAATTTCTATCAATATTTGGAGGAGGGCGCAGAGGAGGAGGAAGAAGACATTTCTTTGACTGTAACACTCTTAAACTCTCCCCACAAAATTTAAATTGGTTGACCATTTTTATTTATTTTTTAAATGTTTATTTATTTTTGAGAGAGAGAGTCTAGGTACAAGTTGGGGAGGAACAGAGAGAGAGAAAAGGAGACACAGAATCCGAAGCAGGCTCCAGGCTCCAAGCTGTCAGCAAAAAGCCGGACGTGGGGCTCGAACTCACGAACCATGAGGTCACGACCTAGGCTGAAGTTGGACGCTTAACTGACTGAGCCACCCAGGCAGCCCAGGGTGATCATTTTTAAATATGTATTTCGTTTTCTGATTATTAAGACATGCGACTTGTTATAGCTGTTGCAAAATATTGGCAAAAAATTAACTGTTAAAACTATCCATTCACCTTCCATGGAAAATGAAATGTTAGAACTTTATATTCTATGTACTAGGCATTTGCAAGTTATGCCAAGGATGGCTTGATCAGGAATTCCCCCATAATGGTGTAATTGCTTTCAAAGAAGCTCTTCCATCATTCAAAACAAATACTCCTCCTACAAGGTCAGCTGAGTTTCATTGGTATCTCCTCAAGTTTTAAATGTAAGGAAGTGCCCTATAGCTAAGTTCACTTAACTTCTTAAAAAGGCACTGGTGTAAGAAGATTCTCCTTGTGTGTATAATTATAAGAAATGAGACAAGCACCCTACAATGAACAAAGCCATCAATAGCCCTGAATCAAAACTGTGAAATAGTGATAGCTGGGATTTTAGAGTGATTGCTTTATGTCAATTTACATCCACAAGAGTCCTGAAAGATTTATCTATCTATATTTATTTTTTTAAATATTTATTGAGCGCTTACTATGAACCTGACACTCCCATTGATTTTAAACAAAGTGTAAACATGGTTTATTCAGTTTCCAAACCCAAGTAATGATGGCTTCAATAATATATTCTCATTAAACCTGAAATCCAGAAAAAGGTGGATGCTAGTGTTAGTGCAGCAACTTAGGAAGGCTAGGACCAGTATTTCTGTGATGGCTTGGTCTTTCCTACATACTTACAAAATCGCTGCTAGAGTGCCATGAATCAAGGATGTGCTCGGGACAACTAGTGGGGAAGAGGTGATTTCAGGTCTGTTCAGAGGTCTGTTCCTTTTATCAGGAGATCAGAAGTCCGTTATTCCTCATGTTCCAGAACTGAATGAGACAGTCATCCCTTGCTACAGGAAGACCTGGGAGACTGAGATAAAACTTGGGGAGGGTCACATTTCCTCAACTGGATAGAATCAAGGTTCAGATAAAAGGTAAAGGGAATAGATATGAGTAAGAAATGGGGAGACAGCAACATCTTATAACTCCTACCCCCACATTTCACATCTTTGAATATGACTTTATATTTGCATAGGACTTCATATTCTACAAAATACTTTTACTTGCTTGATCTTATTTCATCCTGTCAATACAACAACAAGGCATTTAAAGCTCAACAAGGTGATTTTTCCCTAGTTTGTACAAGGGAAAGAGTTACAAGTTATGTATTTTGATTCCCAAACCAGTATCCTTTCTTCAAAAAAAAAAAAAAAAAAAAAATAGTTCTCTTGGGGCAGCTGGGTGGCTGTCTGACTCTTGATTTTGGCTCAGGCCAATGACCTCACAGTTCATGAGATGGAGCCCCACATCTTGGGATTCTCTCTCTCCCTCTCTGCCCCTCCTCCTCTCTCAAAATAAATAAATAAACTTTTAAAAAGTAGTTCTCTAAAATTATCATTTAGAGTTAGAAGCATAATGAGATTTCTGTTTCTGATCAAGATAGAGTAATAGGGACCAGACTGAATTTGAAAGTGATAAAATACAGGACAAAATATATTAAACAATGTCCCTCAAGAGTTATGTGTGATAGAAAGAGTATTTGGGGAAGCTTTAGAGATGATCTTTGACTGTAGCTATCTTATTCCTCCATAACAGCCTTGTTCCCAGTGTTTTACAAAGAAGACTGAATTCAACTCTATCTTCTGGGAGGCAATGAAAAAAATAAAGTGAACCCTACAATCACCCCAGCTCACTTCCTGGAGAGTTTCTAGATCACGGTGCACAGAGGAGAAACCCAGACTGGGTCTACCGGAGTCCCTGACTTGAGAAGGCAGAGGTGAAAGTCCAGAGAACCTAAAAAGGCTAGTGTTCTCAGGACAGAGTACTGGGGGGAAAAAAAACTGCAAGAACTCCAGATGTCTGAACAGAAAGGAACTTCCTCAACTTGATAAAAAGCATGTACAAAAAACCTACTACTAATATTATAATTAATGGTGAGAGACTAAATGCTTTCCCCTAAAATCAGGAAAAAGGGAAGAATATATGTTCTCACCATTGTATTTATTTATGTTTATTTATTTTTGAGAGAGAGAGAGAGGGAGAGGGAATAAGCATGGGAGGGGCAGAGACAGACAGAGGATTCAAAGCAGGCTCCACACGGACATCAGAGAACCCGATGCGGGGCTCAAACTCATGAACCATAAGAT